CTCCTCCTTCTCCTCCTTCTCCTCCTTCTCCTCCTTCTCCTCCTTCTCCTCCTTCTCCTTCTCCTCCTTCTCCTCCTTCTCCCCCATCTCCTGCCGCGGCTTCTCCTCCTGGCATGGTTCCGGGGGCGCCCGCGACTCCTGACCGGGGGGTTGCAAGGGAGGTTCCTCGATGCTGGACGGTTGGATGGCTGATGTTCCCTCAGATGCTTCCGTCACGTCCTCCACAGCGGTGGCTGCACCTGGGGGGGGTGGTTCCTTGGTAAAGGCGTCCTCTTGCGGCACTGTCATCGCCTCTTGCTGCTGCTGCTTGTCTTGTTGTTGTTCCTCGGACGGTGTGGACTGTCCTGTCATCTCAACATCGCTCTCCATGACCACATCAGCCAGCGGCTCCGGAGACGGAATGTTGCCCACGCGGTCAGCCGGGGGAATGAAAGTATCAGATGGTTGAAGATCCACCGCCGCATCACCTTCCGGGGCGCGCTGATCAACGGCCGCCTGGGCCTCGTCTGTAGGGGGAGCCCGGGACTCAGTCGGTGCTGGAGGCATGGCTTGCTCGGAGCTTTGTGCGGCATCTGGTGGGGGAGCAGTCCCGGCGGCGAGGTCTTGTGACGCCCCTGTTTCCGCTGGCGAGGCAACCTGTGGTGAGACATCCGTGGGGGATGGCAGCACCACATTCTTAAGCGGGCTGCCTTCGAGTCTCGGAGACGCAGATGAGGTTGGGTGTAAAAGCGGCGCCAAAAGAGGATTTGGCGAAGGGGACTGTTGGGTTTGCGAGGACATGATCACGTCGGGCGCAAGTTCGGCTGTGTCTGATGAAGAGGGTTGTGGGACCGATGGGGGAGCGTCGGTCATCTCTTGATCTTGGTCTTCTGTATCGTTGTCATCGTCTTTATCCTCGCCGTCTTCTCCTTCGCCTTCCTCCCCTTCGTCTCCCTCGTCGCCATCGTCATCTCCCTCGTCGTCATTTTCCGCCATTTCGCTGTCGGGATTGTTGGACTCGTCCTGTTCCTGCTTGATGCTCTGCTGTACGGAGAAAAGAAACATCAGCCCAAGGTACGCGGGGAGGGAGCGGAGCGGAGGGGGGAAGAGAGGATTAATATAAAAGTAGAGGGACGCACATTTTCGTCATTGACAAGGTCTTCTGGTTTCGGCATGACGGTCGCACTGCCATTCCCAAGCGCCTGGTTTTGCGCCGGCGCCGGCAGGGGAATCAACTTCTTCTTCCGACCGCGGCCAGGACCGCCGAGTTTTTTATGCTTTTTCGGTGGCGGAGGACGGCGGTTATTGCGTGGCGCAGTAGCAATGGCCTGGTCTCCCGGAGCAGGAGCCGGGACAACGGTTGTGGAGATGATCTCGCCGTCGACCTGCTGGCCGTGCTGCAACGTAACCTCCTGGGTGTAGGGGTTACCGGCGGCGTCGATCCTCCTGACGGTAGCACGTGTAATGGTGGCGCCAGTGAGAGGGGCGACGACGGACTTGGACGCGACGGTGACGACGCCCTTGCGGCGCTTGGCGAGATACGATGGGGGAGAGCCCTCGGCACTACGATCGACCTGCTTCCACACCGTCGCCTGGAATCCCTTGGTGCACGTGCCTTCCTCCTTCTTCTCGTTCTTATCCACGGTCACTTCTGGATCGACCTCTTCGTCCTCCGCAGGCCTCTTGTAAAGACGGCCGGCGCGGGCTGCTCGAAGAAGTTCCTGGCTGTGTTGTGGCAGCAGGGCGGTGTCGCGGGGCATGCCCCAGAGGAGTTCGCGTGACCAAATATCGTTCTTCTTCGTCGTCTCCGCTGCTGGCGGCGACGCGACCTGCACCACCTCATGGCGCCATTGTCGGACGGGAAGACCTTCAAAGTCATCGTGCTCGATAAACGCACCGCGATTGGCCCTTCTTGTCTATAACCTCGAGACGATGATGTGAGTGGTGACTGGCTTTATTACGGTAGTTCGTGTTTCGAGGAAAAGGGACTTACTTACGCCTGGAGGCATCCTGGTTGAATGGCTTCCCTCGCGCCCAAGTGCCACCTTCGTACACTATGAACCTAATGCAAGACTAATACAGGGCGCTGGGTAGTTTAATCAACACGATCTTTTGTAGCGGGATTGTGTCGGGTAGGTGGCGGGATATTCATGGACATTATTGGGTAGGAAGTCTTCCTATCGCGTCGGGGGCTGAGGGATCGGTGCTGGCAGGCCGCAGACGATGGCACGGTACGGGGTAATGGAGCGCGATGCTCGGGAGCCTGGGGTGAAATATACTACACAAGCAGCGTCGATACTTGATGCGCGTTGCTCAGTATAAGGTACACCAAGGACTCGTTCTGTCGGATGAATGTTGAGGGTAGAGAAAATTGCCGGTTTCCCTGTGTATGGGTAATTACCTGGGAATTGGACGGTGTCGCGGTCGCAAAGCGATGTCCTGGATGAATGTCAGCATATTTCACGCCAAGTACACTGTGGAGCGTATGATTGATTACATAAGTTAGGCTTCGCTGTTTGTGTTCGCACGCCGCCTGACATACCTATATTATAGGTACCTTATGTAAAGAAAGTTGTAACTTTCAGGATAAATCCCCCAATGTCTGTTTAACTACACCGTAGGTATCGCCGACGCCATATACCTAAAGCAGCACGTTAAGTTGGCACTCGACTTAACCCGGCAGAAAAAGCGAGTACGTTGTATGGAAGAAATGCATCCATCAGAGATGCCCTCATCAAAACAGCCGACTTCGGCCTCTGGCTCGAGAGTGATGTCCTAGGCCTACCTCATCAACTTCGTTATTTCCCAGAGGGCGCCTCTAGAGGAGAACTAGGCGAAACGATTGGCCTTGTCATGATCGTTCTTTCTCTCATTTTCCTCGCTATTGCCGAAGCCATTGATGGGCATTATTTTAGTCGTTGTGTTCATATTCAATGTTATCGCTTTCCAAGGCCGACAGTCCATCCGTTCCTCTCAGTGGCCAAGGTGAATGCATGATCGCGATATCCAGGCAAGAGAGTGCCCATGTAGCTGGTTGATTAGAATAAGATGCAGTGAAAAAGAGTCTATATTCTCTTCTCACAGATATTCCGCGCCGTCCTGATCCTGGGACAGCCGAACAGAGTAATACCTCGCCCTTTCAAGTCGTTCCCCAAAATCCAATAACCGACCCTATCGTTCCTACACGATGTCGTGGCCTTTCGTCAGCCCCTACCTTAAGAAAACAACACAACCCCGTGGTATCTGGTGTACAGTTATAGTCTCACATCCCCCATAGCTAAGGTGGTAGAAGTCGGCAAAGTGCGTCGCTGTAACAGCATTTCCCTAGCTGTCAGTTTGTTCTTTCTTTCCCCATGTCGGCAAATCGACGACGCCATATCCGCTCAATCCCACCTAAAACCAGTGATATTAGCATGCATCGAACACCAGGTCGAGGGCCCAGAAACTTTTGCTCCTTACCCTTGTTCCTTCTGTCTTATAATACCGCCATGCTCACCCGTCTCTTTGCCCTGGTTCCCCATCATTAGCCATGATTCGATTTTTGATTCGGAAAAAGGAAAACACTTACCGATCTGCCTCCCTCCACGACTAACCGATCCATCTGATAGAATTGGCTGACAACGGTCGCCCTCTGTTCATCTCACAAGTCAGCAAGGGGCCCCTCATCGAGAACTGCGAACTGCGTGACAGCAAACTTCTCGTGACAAGGTTGATATCCACCCTCGATACCACCTGCAATGGCTCTCCACGGTGGGAAAAGGGACAAAGAATCCCGAGACTAACCTTCAAGACCTGCAGCTCCTTCAACCCCTTCTGAATAAGCTCCTGCACCATACGCGGGTCGTCCACGGTCTTGTTCTCCCGGAACGCATCCCTCGTCCGTCGCTTCGCGTACTCTCGGAAATTGTAGGCCGCGAACTGGTCGCCTTGTCGGAGGAGTTGTCGGTACTGCGATTCAAAATCGTCAGCTCGGCGTGACCAAAACAGAGCGTAACATGGCTCTTTCGTTCTCGTGATGGTTCATCGGAACACACAGGGGAGAGAGATTCCGAGGATCAAGCGCCCGAATGGCGGGGAAGAGGAAACCTACTAATGAACGAGCTTGCTGGGGCGCGTCGCCCTTCAGCGCTTGTATTGCTGTCGCCATGGTCCGGGAAGCTCGATGCGGGAAAGAAATGTGCTGGAAGCGTTGGAGAAGCAGGTGGGAAATGTGAGATAGGATATCTATTCTCTCTGTTTGCGATGGCTGTGTACCGGGAAGATGTTCGATGCGGCTTTCAACCTATGATGCAACGGTTTTTTTTTTTTCCTTTTAGGCACAGGGCCGATGTTCGGTATTGCAGCGTCGGAGATCGGCGGAGTCGGAATGATGACTCAGCTTCGGCGGGCATTGATCCGCCAGAGCCGATTCAGACCGAACCTCACCAATTCCTCCCTACGACCATGTGCAGGAAACGAAGCTCATGAATGGAATAAGTATTTTGATCCGTCATCATGTCATTTACTATTTTACTATGCATGGCTCTTGGTCTAAGCTTTTTTTTTTTTTTTTTTTTTTTCAGAATATTGCACTACATGTTGAAATTGAGAATGGTATCGCTCCAGATGTCTATCCGTCGTAGATGTGTCCTGTTGAACATGCTCATGCGAAGGGGCCCCAGTACAGAGAACTCAGCCCCCAGTCCTGTTGGGGCGATATCATCTGCAGTGAAGTGAATCACCAATGATATACCTTCCCCTTTTTGCTATATCAATACCATGCGCCACCCCGAATGTGGGATGAATGGAACCCCCCAACTGCCGTGTTATAGCAGCCTCGTCGCAAACGGACCGTGTGGACCGGCGTCCCAAACGAGCTCGCCTGTTCATCGTGCTTGAATTGGGGGTTTAGAGAACGCGGGAGGTTCCAGATTCTGGCGTCCTAACCGCCGTCTACCATTGGCAAAAGAATGGCCCGAGCTCGTCCACTGGCAGGTCTTGGAGCCCCCATTGACTTCCGGGCATAGAGCAAACACGGAATCTGATTGCCGATCGTATGTTTGTCTTGGACGGCCAGCCCCCGCCGATTTGCCGCCCCAGACCTACGCCCAGAGGGTTCAGGGAGGATTAACCTCACAGCTAGATGTGACCGCCAACAAGGGTTTCACGCCTGGCTCGACTTGGCCTCCACGTACTTCTGCAGGGTGGCCTTCTGCAAGGCGCGCTGCTCGTTGATGATCTGCCACAGTTCCTCCGTCTGCTTTTGCGCCTCCCCGTCGTTCGCGGCTGCTTGCGGGGGCGGTTCTGTGAACGACAAGACGGCCTTTTCGAGAAGGTCTTCGGGGAAGCCCGGGCCATGCAGCATGGCGTCGAACCGGGTTTCCTCCTCTCCCAGGTCCGTCTCCAACTGAGAAGTGAAGGCGTAGCGAGCTTCCCCTAGGCTGGGCTTCACCACGGCTGCAGGTCTCGTGGGGGCGGGGGCCTGCAGAAGCGGGGCGAAGATCAGGTTCGTGACGGAGGCGTTCAGGTCGGCCAACTCGGTGGGGTGTCCGTTTTCGGTGAGCTGCCACTGCATGATCTTGCCCTTGGTGTGGCCGGTCAAGACGGTGGTGCCGTCGTGGCTGAGGGCCAGGCACGAGGCGGGCCCCATGTCCGGGTCGGCAACGCCTAGGGGCGAGGTGACCTGGACGACGGTGGAGGACACCTCGGCGCTGTGGCGACCAATGAGGGGCTTGTCGCCGAATAGCTCCACCAGGTAGAGGCTGCCATCCTCGGTGCAGACAAAGACGGCGCGGGAGCCGGGGTCGATGGCGACGCAGCGAGGGACGCTGGGGAACAGGAGGGTACGCAGGGGCTCGCCTGTCTGGTAGTTCCAGAGGACGCAGGTCTTGTCCTTACTGGCGGACACGCAGATGCTCGTCTCCGGGCTCGCGCTCTCGTTGAGGGCGAGTGCGGTGATGGCACCGCGGTGGTTGGACAGAGTCAGGTCGGGCTCCAGCTCGGTGGCGGCATTCCTTTCCAGGAGGCGGGACAGAGTCCAGACGTGGATGTTGGAGTCTTCGGACCCGGTCAACACGTGATGAGGTGTTGTCGCGACACACGAAACGGGCTGGACATGGCAGGGGGGTGTGGTGATTAGGCGTCCTGTACAGGTCTAATGCCGGATACGGGTTAAGGGGGGTCAGTCGCGATGCTGCAATAGAACGGGGGACATCAAGCGGCCGGAGAAAGCTCGCAAAGCGCACTACTTTCCACGTACCTCCCATAAGATCAAGCTCCCCTCGGCAGTACCGACAGCCAGAACGTCACCGGCGAGGGCAAGTCTCCGGACGCGCTCGGGAAAGGTGACGGTGACTTCCTGGTTGCCGCGTGCTCTTGAGTACACATGGACCTGTGACTTGTCTTGTTGCGCGGCGAAGACATGGGACGGGCCCAAAGCCAAGCCACTGGGTGGCGCAGAGCTCTTCTTGAAGGTGGACTTGACGGCGTAGCTAGGGGTAAGGGCATGGCAGTAGATTCCGACGTCCTTGGAAACGGCGGTATTGGGGGCCACCGGGGGGCCACAAACGGACGAGTAGAACTCCTCGGAGAGCATCGTGTGTGTCGTGAGGGGTGTGTGAGATGAGTTGCGCTGATGGTAGGATCAAATTGGTCCCGCAGGGGCGAAGCTGGGGAAGATCAGCTTGAGATTTTGCGAGATCTTCTGAGGTCTTGATGGCGTTCCTCAAGTTTGGAAGAAGACGTGTAAGCAGCCAACAGCCGCACGAGCTGTTCTTTTAAAACGATACCAACAAGAGACCCCTCCAAAGGCTCATTGGGGATGATATGAAACCGACAGGCAACTAAACCACCGCACAGCACCGTTTCTCGCGTTGTCTGTCAACTAGCCAGTATTCAGAACTTTTGCTGATCCAATTTGACTCCGAGTGAGCGAGTCGGAGTGTCCCTCCTTTGTAGGTCCAGTACTTGGCCTGGGTCGCTGAGACGACAGGGTCTGTAAGCAAATATAACTGAGTAGAGGGAGCAGAGAAGAAGAAAGTAAAAATGAAAGGGAAATTTTGGCTGGTGTTGCAGTGTTGCAGTCGCGAAGTTGGGAATCGGACTGATATCTGATATCGACAATGGATCACGGTGGAAATTTTGGCGATCCCTGACCTGAAGTTTCGACGGTCAGAGGGATGAGATTTTGGACAGCTGGTAGCAACTGAAGTGGCTAAAGCAAGCTGAGGCTTGTGCACCAGCCACACCACTCCCAGGATACAGGATAAGAGTGGAGAAAGTGGAGAAAAGTTGCTGCCTGGACATGGAAAACGGCAACTACCTAATTAATAATTACAACGTACCTAACATCCTGATCGTCATTTAAGTCCCCACCCCTCCTTCTGGGATATACCCCATTTGGGACATAACTTTACACCAAAACAGGGCTTTTTAGACCCCTGCTATTTTATTCAATAAAATAGTAAATATTATAAAATTAAAACCCTACATAAAGTAGAAATCAAGTACTAATATGCTATTCATAGTTTTGATATAGGTCTAGTAGAAGAGCTATACTATAGCTTAGAAGTTAGAGAGTTAATTTTGTTAGTGTTAGTATATACTATATAAGGAATCCTTAACAAATAGAAATATATTAATTATAAATTAAGTAATATAGGTATAGCTATAAAATAAGTACTAAAAATAACCTTCAACTCTATACTATATATCTTTATTACGTATCTAATACTATATATTCTAGTTTCCATAATATAACTAAAAGTAGACTTCCCCTACTAAATCTTTATATAGGCTTACACGTATTACTTAATAACTTCTCGAATACTATATACTTTTTTATAAGGGTTCTATAGTAGTATTTATGAATTTTAGGCTATTTTCTGATATTTAAGGTATATTTTTCACGAGTAATACTAAGCTATTATGAATATTCTTAGTTATATTTTAAGTTACTAAGAAAACACATACTAAAATAAATAAATATTCAAGGCCTAACTTCTAAGCTATAGTATAGCTCTTATACTAGACCTATATCAAAACTATGAATAGAATATTAGTACTTGACTTTTACTTTATATAGGGTTTTGATTTTATAATATTTACTATTTTATTGAATAAAATAGCAGGGGTCTAAAAAGCCCTGTTTTGGTGTAAAGTTGTGTCCCAAATGGGGTATGTCCCAGAAGGAGGGGTGGGGACTTATAAGTTATTACCATTTCCTTCCGGGTACATACATCACGGCTGAATCATTGCGTCCCTCCCTGCGTGCGGTGCATGAGAAAGTGTTCAAGACAAATAAATCGTCAATTGGCTTGCTCCTTGCTCCTTGCTCCTCGCTCCCACCTACATATAACCTACTGACTAATGAAGCCTCATTTTCCTTTCTCCTTTCAAAACTGGAACATCTCAACTGATATTGAGGCAATATTGCCTGAAACCTTGTGTCGGATTTAGGAAGAAGAAAAAAAGAAAAAAAGAAAAAACCCTCTTGTCTCGCCCTTGCCTTGGTCCTCTCGTACTCGAACGAATGCGACTGACTGCTCAGCTGCATGAGGTCGCATACACTAAATCACAAGATCCCTGTGTAATGTTGACTGATAATGTCGTGTCTACCTTACTCAGTACCGAGGAGATTGCTATACGCGAAGTAGCGGACGAGTTTTCGCGTACAAAGTACGTTCGACGATCGAAGAGGCCCGTTCTTTACGTCGAAATTAGATACATAGATAGCTGCCGCGTTTTGCCCCGTTTCCCCTGTGAATCTTTCTACACTAGAAAAGAAGACGATCTTCGTCTAACACGGTATGCTATGGGGCGCTCTGGGGCCATCAGAAGAAGCCTGGGCAGCTTATTGTACTCCGTATTATCCACACGTTCACATGTTCGCCGCCGACGGCCGGCCCACGCTGCTGGGTGTCCACTACAACGTACCTAACTAATACACGTGTAGACTGCCCACCCCCTGTCCCCCTGTCCCCTTGTCCTTTTTCAACCATAACCTGGCCAATGCAATCTCCAGGACCGACTTTCGAAGACGGACGCCCCCGGGCGGTTCAATAATTATTAATTACACTGTTTCATCAATCGAAAGAGCACTGGAAACCCCTGATGCCGGCAAGTTGGTAACGAATCCGACGACGTCCACACAAAAAAAATGTACGACGTACGTGTACAGTACATAAGCCGCCGCAGGCAGGACATGAAGCCCTGGAAAGGCGAAAGGCCCAGCCAGCGTTGTACGTTGTAATTACGTTGTAGCTGAACTGGTCAACGTCGAGCCACATCGCATCGCATCGCATCGCATCACTCACCTGGGCGGACCTGGGCGGTGCGATGACATGACCTGCATTGCTTGCCCCTCTGCGGCGTCACGATGCAACCGATCCGGGACGAGGGGACAGGACGGGCGCTTAGCCTTTAGGCTGCGATATCATCACCATATTAACTACCACCCGCTATCCCTCCGTCGGCCTCCCCCCCCCTTTCGACTCCTTGTGCGACGGAGTCGACTCTATTACTGCGTAACATTGTCCAAATTGGGGGGTTGATGGCGGACGCCTCACGCATGATTGCGTTTCGGATGGTTACAGGAACCTCGCAGGAAGAAAGAATCGCAAAGAGTCATATCTCCCTGGCATATGTAGGTACGTGGGCGTGGTACGTTTAGTTTCCACGATGTGAAGCTACTGTATGCATGCAGCTTTTCCCCTGTAGGCTCCCGAGACTGAGACCGAGGCCCGAAAGCAAGGGCAACGACAACAACACCCCCTCCACTCGTTGATGGTCTTTCCTATCCTCCCCGCTCCTCTAGGACAACTCCGTCAGCGGCAGTCCGCCTTTTAGTAGACCCGTTGGCGCAACCACCTCGTGACACCCTGGTTGTCTGGCTGGCCCAAGGTCGGTCGCCGCCTGTCAAAAGGACGAGGGCTAAAAACAAGAAGGCATTTAAATGCTCTAACCTTTTTGCTTTTCAACTCGTCAAACTTGCCCGTCAACGAATTTTAGCCGAGGGACAGATACGATACAATGGGGGGTTTTTTTTTTCTTCTCGCGCACTTTTCCACCTACGAGGTACGTTGTACGGCTTCCCCTCAGACACGCCGATATGGACAAGAGACTCCGGACAAGGTCATTGCGATAGGACTCCATTGCGATATGTCAGTCGAGAGACACCTCCTCCATCATGCACTGCACATTCACCCCGCAAAAGATGGAGGGGGCGGAAAGCTCGTGCATAAGTTGGCGTCGCCATAAAACTTGGCCCCCATGTTATTTTCTTTTTATTTTTCCCTTTCTTTCTTTTTCTTCTTTTCAGCCCCTCAAGACAGTTGGTAGCAGCACAGTCTTATCCCTTTATATATATATATATATATATATAAATTCGTTCCTTCTCTTGGCCTCCTCCATTGCCCCTGACTTGGGTTATCCTTGTCTCAGTCCTGTAGCTCTCCACTCTCCCCCTTGACTGCTATCTTACCTACCCTCGTAGTTGGCTCCGTCGTCATGGGGCAACTGGCGTGGCTTGTGGAGAAGGATTGAGACTAGCACAGCACTAGAGCCGCTGTTCTTTTCGTGTTCTCTGTTCTCTGTTGACTCTGTTCTGGTATCGTGTCTTGTGCCTTGGGCGACTGGGTCTTGGAGGCAAGTGTCTCGCAACCCAGGTTTATGACAAGGGGGGTTTTTTTTTTTCTTTTTTCGCTTTCTTTTTCCAGCATGCATGCAGTACAACGTACGAATCGAGGCATGCATCTTGAGTGTCAGCGTGGTATCACGACAGATGCAAGTATCCTCGCCCAGCTCTAAGCACCGCCCTTTTTTTCTTTTTTTTTCTTCTTCTTTTTTTTCTCTCTCTTCTTTTCCCCTTTCTCCCTTTTCATCCCTCTTAACTCCTCCAAATATCCGTATTCGGCCCCCCTTCCCCTCCCTGCCCCCAGCGGATTCCTGGGATATAAGATTATGGCGATCACGTCCAAGTGGCCCCAGGCCGCCCCCCTCCCCCCCCATGCTGTTCCCTTCGTCCCCATCGCTTCATTCGTCCAATGACACTGCCCACGACCCCTCGACCCTTGCCGCCTGCACCCCATGCTCGCTTTCGACATTGCACCCGGTCCTTCGCATGTCCCACGGAGTCCATGCTCCCCCGACGCCCTGGCCAGGAAAGGGACTTTTTCTTCATCCCGTATTAAAAGTCCAAATCCCCCATCCCTGACGCGTCGACGCTCCGTCCGGAGCATGAAACGCCTGTTGCCCTTGACCCTTCCGTCGTCCAAGAACCAGAATTACCGTCACCACTCCACCGCCTTCTCTCCCCGTGCCTGTTCAGCCTGTCCATGCGGCGGCACAATGGCCGTCGTCGAACCCGAACCCGTTTCTCCCGTTATGGACTCGCCCATGGACATCGACGCTGCTCTGGACACTGGAGCCAACTCCTGCAACTTCCCCGAGATGCTTGCCCGTGACCTCGAGTGCTCGAGCCTCGTTTTCGCCGCTCGGGAATTAACCGCCGGCGCGCCGTCCCGCGAGCTAGCCTACGGAAACAGTCAATGGCGCCAGCCCCAACGAGAACGGGAACATGAACCCGCGTCCTTGTCACCGCGCTTCTCGGCATCTTCAGTTCCGTCCCATCCGCCCGATTCACCAACGCAACTACCCGTCGTTCGCCTCGAACGAGCCCGGGATATCGCCGGTCCCTCGACCACAACTACAACCACGATCACGGCAACGACGACGACCACCCTGGAAGCATCCAACTCCGATGCCGATGTTGCATCCATATCGAGCGGCCATTCTTTCAGCGAGATCGAACCTGCCTCCGTAAGGCAGCAGTCCGTCATTACTACAGCAACTTCTATCACCGGCAGCGGAAGACGATCAGCAGCATCACACAAACGAGACACCTCTCTCAGCCATGCTACGAATGCCAGCTGGATTGACCTGGAACCGGATGCCGACGGCGACCTGGAGACGACGACAGAGTTGAAGACGACAATACCACGGACTGAGCCGGGGAGCCCCCGCATCGGCAGCCGGGAATCAGCAGCAAAGCGTCCCCGTTCGACGTCCCGCGATGATGGGCGTGCACGAAGCCCGCTCAGGGCGTCGTCCGCGAATGCAGCTACCCACCAGAGCCTCCCCAATCCTTTCGCCGACTTCTCTGGGTCAGGGCCGGCAAGTCGGGCATGGAGCTTGCAGGTATACCCGCGTCCCCTATCAGAAGACCAGAGGCGAAGGTCGCTGCATTGCGTTGAAATCTCTGTCCCGCAACGGCGATCATCGCTCAGGAACCAGGCCGCCTATGCGACACTGGAGCCGCCAGCTCGGACTCCGACCACTTTCGCGGAATCGACCAGAAGCTCCATGCCACCACGCCCTTCTTCACGGAGTCCAGGACGCGTTGCGAAACCGTATGGACTAGGTGAGCCAGATGAGCCAGATGAGCCAAAGTACCCGGAAGAGCAAGCCAGCCAATTGGGATCGCCAATCGACGAGGACCTAAAAGACGAGATTGAACCGTGGTTTCGCTATCTCGACGAGCAGGGCGGCTCTTCCGAAGGGCCGAAACGACACTCCCCCGTGAAACACCGCCCGTTGCTATCACCGACCTCGCCCATCGACGAAGTGCAACAATGGCTAGAAGCGTCCATCGACGCCGCACCGGCGGACGAGTACCAAAACCGTCGGATACCCCTGCCACCCGACGTAATCGAGACTCTGCGCGTCTCCATCACCTGTTTCCCCGAGACGATGCTCCTCTGCTCCAGCCTCTCCATCGAGACGATCCGCAGCTACGCCAAAAAGATGAAGCACCCGGCAGACGAACCGGTGCGCCGCACCCAAACCCCGCCCCCGTCGCCCAAGAAGTGGAAGTGGCCCGCCGTCCTAGGTCAACGACGCAGCGTGTCCTCTCTGAAACGCGAATATACCACCAACCAGCGCTACTTCTCCTCCGAACTCACGCCGGCCGCCGAGCTGGTCCCCGCCATGGCCCCGTCCGTCCCGCAACCGCAATGGTCACGCCTGCGCAACATCTTCCCCCAGGGCTCGGATTACCTCCTGGACGCCCTTTTCGCTCACCTCGTCGCTTACAGCTACGTCTCCAGTCTCTTGCCCCGGCAGCCGCCGCCGGGACCGTCGGGACCGTCGCCTCCACGGTCCGAACGCTGCTCGAGCGACTCGTCGTTTCACCGCCCGCCGCCGCGCGAGAGCAAGGACTCCTCATCTACCAATGACATCCCCCGGAAAGCCTGGAAAATGCTGGGCCTCGAAGAGATGGAAACTACTGGCGGCTGCGGCGGCACAGCACCATCCCCGCGGGCGTCGTCCGTATCCCCGCAGCAGCAGCAGCAGCAGCAGCACCACCACCACCACCACCACCAAGAACAACAACAACGCATCGTGCGCAAAAAGTCGAGCTTCATGGACAGTATGCGGTCCTCGCGGCTCCCGCCTCCCACGCAGGGGCCGGCGGAGCAGGCGTCGATGCGAGAGCTCCAGATCGGCTTGGCGCGCTGTGTGGGCAAGCTGGTTGCCACGCTGCGGGCTGGTCTGCCCGAGGGCGACGAACTGCTCATGCTGGCGGGTGAGTATCCCAAGGCTGGGGAGATTGATCCGCTTCTCGTCAGGACGTTGTGCGAGATTGTCAGGTGTTGCGAGGCGGCGTGAGACACCGAAAAAGAAGAGCAAAAGAAGATACAAAGAGAGAGAAGACGATGTTTAGGTGACGAGTGATCTGATGGACAAGTATGCAATTTCTTTTTTTAATATCAATAGGGGAATGAATGGGTGGTCAATAATGGTGATGGCCAGGGGGTCATTCCTTTTGTCTTAGACGACCTTTATTCGGGCGTGCGGCTTTTTTCTTCTCCTTTTCTTTTCCTTTCCTTTTTCTGCTTTACTTCTTCTATTTCTCTTCTCTTCTTTTTCTTTTATTCCTTTGATTTATTTTCTGTCATTTCTCTTCCTACACTTTCATTTGTTCTCTTTTTTCATTCATCATCAGGATAGGATCATCAATCTCTCCAAAGGCGTCAGATGGCGGGGGGAAAATATACCCATACTTTCTTCTTATTCATATCTATCTTGTGCTTTTCTAAGACATAAGTGCTGAATTCTTTTCAAGTTACAACGTACAGGCGGGATCCCAGGATCTGGCCCCTCGGTGGTTTGCGGGAGTCGGGTACATCACACGTCCATTGACGCGGAGGCAACGGACGAAGAAGTTGCTGATACCCAACATGGAGGCGCTGGTCAGCAGGAGAATGGCCAGCGCGATGGCGCCCATCTGACTGAGGTTCCCGCTAAGGGCGGCGGCGAGGTACATGAAGGACTTGGCGACGCCTTCGAGGAGGCCCTGTCTCCGGCTTAGAGGACTGAGGAACCCGCACGTGGTGACGGCTTGAAGGTCCTGACGCGTGCCGCGAAGGACGACGATGGAGGTCGGGGAGAGAGGTATGGTATATTCGGTTCTTGCTTTTCCTTCCGTCCTCCGGGAGCGGCGTTGGTTCCAGTACGTCGACGGCAGGGCGAATGCGGATGTTGTGGTGTGGACTGAGGCGGGCTCGAAAGGGGTTACAGTTATGGTATGGCCGGCCATGACTGGGATTGGGATAGCGTCCATCGCGACGGAATCGGGATCATGTCGCTCTTCAATGATCATAATGTTGATGGCGCGGGAAAAGATGAGCATGAGGATGACGCTGAAGCCCCACCCTAAGTGTACGTGAGGAGAGTCAGCTCTGCGAAGGGTATGCTCGACTCGGGGCATTCCTTTTTTCCTCTTAGTGCCGTTGTGTTGGCTCCTTGGGCAGAAGGGAGAAGAGAGAAGCAGAAATAGCCTCCCGGGGGGGGGAGGGGGGGGAGCGGGAGGTATAAAGAAAAAGGAGAGAAAAAGAGAAAAGAAAAGAAAAAGAAAAAAAGGGGGCGGGGATGGTCTTACAGTCTGTCGACACAATACACAGGATCACGGCGCTAATGGTGAGGAGGGGGGTACAGAGGTATAGAAAATGGCTAGCAATCTCGGCCAGAATCCATGCCCTGTCCTCCTTCACCGAGTGGTCCGGCTGCTCGGTGAGCTTCTCATTGCTCCCAGGCCTGGGCTGAGGAGTTCGCTTCCTCAAGGCGTCGAGATACGTCGTGGACGGGATCATCTCCGGCCAAACTTCAAGACCGACGTTGAAAGTCCACACGCGCTTGGTAGAGGCCCAGCCGTTGTTCCCGACTAGCGCCGATTCTTCCAATCTGCGTCCGTCATCCCCGGATGCGGTAGTGAGAGGCGTGACGGAGCATGGGAAGTCGTCGCTCTCGACTACGCGCTGGAGAAACCGCAGAGTGGCGTGGTTGTGGACGGGCCAATGTCGGACCCCGGCAGGATCAGGCGTGGGTGTCTGGCCCTCGGAGGTGGCGGCGCGTTGGCCCGTCTCGAAGGCTTTGGGGAAGCGAGTGTACAAGCCGTAGATGGTGTCCGCGGATTGCTGGTATTGCAGCCCTGGGGCCAGAATAAGGACTTCGAAGATGGATACGCCGCCTCTGAAGGCTGTACGGTCAGGGATGCTGTGGAGGTCGGCGAGGGCGAAAAATGCGGCTGGGGACAAGTCGAATCCTGGGATAGGAGTTTCAATCATTTAGGTGGAACGATACTGTGTTGATGGAAAAGGCCAAAAAAAAAGGCGATGTGCGAAGAGCATGAGCATGATGGCATGTTTCGTCCCCGCGGGGGGCTAAATAAACGAGCCCGTGTTGACAGTTGACAGTTAGGTACCCTATTCAAGGTCTTGAGGGAGAGGAAGGGGCTTTCGGTCTTTCTTTCCTCGCAGCGGTGAAGGCCATCGATCGTAGTTTCTGTTTCTTTTCCCTTTCTCCGCCGCCTCCACGGTCACAGTTCACTAAGGTACCTCTCTTTATACCTTACCTTACCGTAAGGTACCTTAAGGTACGTAGAAGAGTCCTATCTACCTAAGGTAGGTTGGGACGGCTAAAAGTCCGCGTCGTAGAAAGGTAGAAGAAGGTCGAGCATACTACATCTACCACTCATACTTAATGCCGAACCGGCCACATAGCTCCGCTGCGGTTGCTTGTATCGTCTGGTCCAGTCGCCGAACTCACGACCTGCCTCGCTCCGGTCTCTCTTTCGTAGGTAGTGACAAACTGCGAAGGTGCCGCGTGACCTGCTTCCAATTCCCACTATCGAGCCACGACTCGACAAAACGCAGAACAACTTCCTCTTCCCATTCGTTCCGTTCCGAATAGAAGTCGCACCGGAGACGTAGGCGCTCGATGTTTCTCGCCAGGACACGATCCAGATTATGAGTGGTGCCATCGGCTATCGAAAAGGTTCCGGTCAAAAATGGCATAGGAGCCTCAAGCGTCCGCAGCTCGTCTAAGCCTACCAAGGCCTGAAGTGAGCCATGAATATAGACCTCGGGTTGATCTCTGTCTCCAGGGGCATCGGTGGTGCCGGATATGATCAATTCATTCAGTGTGTGGCGCACTTGTAGGACAGCCGTGGCGAACTGATCGAGATCGATTATAGGTGACTCGTAGACAGGATCACCTGATCTGGCCACGCTTTTCATGGAATACCAGTCCCAACGGAGAGACCTAAGTCCCTTGGTCACGGCCAGCAGGTTGGTTAGGAATAGCTCGCGTACATCGCGAAGGTCTAGTATCGTAAGGTTAGACGGATCGGGCAGGTGCGACGGCCAAGTGAAGATAGTGATGGGGTTCTCGATGTCTGCCTTGACTTTTCGTATCCCCAAGAGGTAGAAGAACGGCAGAATGGTATAGGTGGTCCTCACGGGATTTTTGATTCCGGGGTAGGTGTCGTTTTGGCACGACAGCTCCTCCAGTCGATAGAACCGGGACAAGTTCAACGAACCAGCAGGACCAGCTCCTGTTCCTGCTCCTGCTCCACCGCAACCACCACAGAGTGCGAACCGGAGCATCATGCCAGTAAGCGCAAGGTCCTTGCAAAAGTTCGGCCCGAGATGGAAGACTCGGAGCTCATGCAGTTTTGACAAGAGCAGAGCTACGAATGCGTCCATCCGCCCAGAAGACAGCTCCTGCGTCCATAGCTGCTGATGCTCCTGCGGAATGCCAATCGCGCGGACGGAGGCCACAGCTTCTCCCACGAGGGAGACATCGACGGGGATTCTCGGCGGCAGGTTGCGGGACCAGACGCCAGTTCAAGTATTCCCGTCCAGGCGAAGTCTCCGCACAAAGGAGCCTAGTTCCGGTCTTCGAAGAGCGCTCCGGAGCAGTAGCGGCACCAGGGAAGATCTTTCTTGTTCCAGCCACGTCCAGCTAATATCAGAGTATAGCAGTGGCTCGGCGGCATGACGAATGCGATGATTGAGAAGGCATATGCCGCGCAGATCAGACTTCGGTAGGAGCTCGAGTATGCCGCACAAGATCTCCTCGGGGCAGCTCAGAACCAACGCGTTTTGGGATGCCATGTTACAGAGGGGTTAGTCGAGGTTGCGTGTCTAACTTCACAGTACCAAGAGCGGGGATATTATTGTAGAAAGAACCTAGAAGCGTTGTCTATAGAGCCACTACTTATTAAGTGAACATAGACGTGTCGTTTAAGGTAGTGCACGTCAAAACCCATAAGGTCCTAATTCATACCCAAGGTAGACCGTCAGACCGTCTGGTTTAGCCAGGGACATATTCCATCCCACTTCAATCCGAGGGGGATGTTGGGCAATTATTGGTCTAGTTACATAGGATACATTTGTCCACACATGTTCACAAATCAGCCGAGGCCGGCTGGCTCAATCGGTAGAGCGTCTGACTACGATTGGTATATCAGGAGGCTGCAGGTTCGAGTCCTGCGTCGGTCACTATTTTTGCCCCTATAATACTTGACGGGTTATTGTTTGTTTCTACTGCCGATTACTAAGCGCCTATTATTAAACACGTTATTGGAATAAATCATTAGCAATAAGTCTTTACTTAGCTTATGCTTTCCCTAAGTATATATTTTTTATCTTATAAAGTATCTATCTTAATTTATTTATTTATTATAAACAAAGGAGATAAAACATATTTCCCTTTTTAAACTAGTAAGAAAACCTCACAAGGGCAAAAAGTAATATTCTTAGTTACATAAGAAGAACAAAAATGAAGTTTCCGAATCGGGGAATCGAACCCCGGGCCTGTCGGCGCAGTTGGAATGAGAGCGACAAATGTTAACCACTACACCAATTCGGATTTTTTCTTGTTAAAAGCGTGAAGCGTAATGCGGCACTATGACTCGAAAGTACAAGCCAAGTCCAACTTCTCCTGTCACGCCAACCTCATCGAGCACCTGAGCACCGATAACCGATAACGCGATAAGCCGATAAGTCGGGAGCTCCCCCCAAACCTCGAAGCGACAGGCACCTTTCCGGACCGAGGACTTGAATCTCAACCTTAACCACGAGCCTCAGCAACACCAGTATCACCTTGTATCGAAAACAGAACGGCATGCCCAAGACTTCGCCACAACATTGACAATGGTGGACCCCAACTTTACCGTTTATATCAGGCTCCCTATCCCCAGAGGTGACTTTGTGGATCCGCCTCCTGTGAGTCCTCTCGACAAGAATCAAGAACTGGCCAGTGCTGATCATGAGTTAGATTGATTGGGATTCCTCTAAAGATGACACGCTGTGGAGCATTGTGTCAGGTGCTGCCAAAACCGAGATAGACTGTGAGCATCGAAGCCCCGGAGTCTTGTAGCTTGCTCCCGAACCGGCAACCCCTCTTCCCTTATAGCTAACCGACCTTCTGTAGGGGATGAGCTGTGAGTTAAAGTCACGCACTACAACAGCGTGATTGTTTGCCTTTTGCCATGAGCTCACATACCCCTACCAGAGCTTTACGTTTCGCTGTCACCGTCCCGTTCCTCCTCCAACAAGCCGCATACCTCACCGAGCGCCATGCGTCGCAAGTTCGAGCCCAGGTTCGTAAGGCCACTGCAGCGGCTAAAGGGTCTGCGGCGCCCTCGCCTGTTCCAATGTCCGAACATCCGACACAACACGCCCGCGCGATCTCCGCTCTTTCCCTCCGCCGCGATTCCCGAATTGACGGAAGCGGTGTCGGCACCCCCGTCCCTTCCGCTCTTCGGCCCAACGTCTCCCGCAACCCCTCTGCCAATACTGCCGTCCACGTTAGCGTAAACGCGGGAAACGGGACAGGGGGGAGTATCTCATCACCACGCACCAAGCCCCCGCCGCCGCCGTCGCTGCAGCAACTGCAGCTTCCACAACAAAAGCAGCGCCATCGGCTCGCCTCCCTACCTGTCGAGAGCCCACAAAGCCCAGGGCCGGCGTCGCCGTCTCCGGACGACTCTAGCTCCTTCGATTCGTCTGAAGACTCCGAGAGTCCGCCCGCGCAATCCCGCATCATCCGCCGTCCGCCACGCTTCCAACCCGCACACCGAAACGAAGGAGGACCCCGCGACTTTGGGGATGACGACGACGACGACGAGACGGATGCAGAGCCCGCGTTTGCCGCACAGCCTACCACCGGGACATCCAACAGCTCAGTGCAGGACTTGGCGTCCACAATCCGCGGCGACCCCGCCACATCCAGGCGCCCCGATAAGGGCAAGGGCAAAGGAAAAGAAAAAGAGAAAGAGAAAGAAAAGGCCATGCAACAACAACCAGAGACATCCGACTCGTCGGCCACCAGTTCGCCTGCTCTACCATCGCGTGGTGGGCCTGGTGGAGGATCCCAGAGGCGGGCCCAGGGACAAGCGCCACTCTCCCCTCGGCGGACCATGGAATTGGCGGCTGGCATGAAAAGTCCTTCGCGAAGGGAAGGAAGTGACGGCACTCCAAGTATGGGCAGCAGTTTTAGTGACCTGGACGGTGGG